CCCCAAAACCCCAAAACCCCAAAACCCCAACACTAGTGTATATCATTGAATATTTTCATTTACTTCACTCATTATGGGCCTGAGTTTGTATTATCTCCATTGAATTTAGCTGTCATGAAAAACTTGAGAAAGCGAACTGACCCTTTCAAATTTAGCCTCTTCTCCTCTCCTAAAACAGTGATTAAATACACTTTACGCTAGCTTTGGAGGTATGACGTTGGAGATATCCACTAGGTCATTGTCTGTATAAATATTAGTTGCCTCTCTATCATCCATGAGCTCTTCTAATTGCTGGTCTATTCTTTAAGTTAAGAAGATTACTAGTGAGGTGTTCATTAGTCAAAACTCCATTTAGCAAACGATAGTCTTTATCTGTCCATTCTTCTTTATTTATACTCATTCTAATAAAGGTCAGAAAGGAAATACCATGAAGTTATCAATTACTTGAGAATGGAATTGCTTCTTTGAGCCTCAGAATATAGATGGGACATCATTACTGGTGTCATCCTTAGGATCTTCTTCTTTATTTGAGGAGGAGATTCAGTTGCTCTTCTGATACCTTATCATAAATCTTTCTTTATCATCCATTAAGGATGAGATTAGGGTATTTAGGCTTCTCATAGACTTAGCATATTGAACAGCATCGAATTCATTGATGAACTTGGTTTCCCCTCTGCTGTATAATTTCATTCTCTTCTGTGCATTCAATCTATTCTTTCTCATTCAGCAAAATCAGAGAAGAGTACTAAGAGGATGAAAGAAGTTATAGACAAAATCTGAAATTTTCCAGTTGTATCTTAGTCTCCTCTTCATTATTTTTTGTGCTTTATTTACAAAGAGATCCCGAGATCTCAGTGATTGAGCAGTGTAGTTCCTGATCTCATGCATTGAAATTCTCTATGATTTAGTTTCATAAAATTTTACATTTTTATAATTTCATTTAGCCAATTCTTTGCTTTTTATCTCAGTTTCAAATGGAGATATTTTATTTGTGTATCTACCTTCAGATTCTTCAACATGGTAGAGTTTGGAGAGTATTGAAAAGATAAACACTTTTCCAGAGAAGAGTGAAACCAGAATTGCTCCAGTTTTCTCAAGTATCTCAAACAAGCCACCAATATTTCCTGTCACTTCTAGCAAGCTAAAAACTCTTCTTTCGTAAAATTTTGATTGGGCATCTTTGACAAATTGCATCCCTCAAAGTTAGAACAAAGAAAAATTACTATAAATTTCAGTGCTAAGAGAGTCTTGTTGTACTGAAAGTCTACTATCAACTCTTTCAACTCCTATAAAACCTCGTTGGTCACCTCCTGGTTGATATGAGAAGTAGCCATCTTGTAGCTCAGCTTCATTTTGCCTAGAAGGTGAAGCCTAACCTTACTGTATGAAGACATTGTCTCTTTTAAGGTATCCAGGGAGCATATTAATTGCAAGTCTGCTATCAATAAAAGTCTTAACAGGATCATTATAGTCATCAAAGTCAAAGTAACTGTTTACAAATGGGATTTCGATCTCAATATTCGGTATAACTTCTTCATAGTCTGCAGGACAATCTGCGGGATCACATTTAAGTATATTAAGCTCCAAGTAAAGAAAATCCTCAGATAAACGATTTCCTTGCACTGTAAAATCCCATGTCAACGGACAAACAAAATCAGAAATGAACAACTTCTCAACCTATACCACCTTAAAATCCATAATTCCCAAGTAAATCACCTACCTCCGTCTGGTTATAATACTTAAACAACTCCTCGCCTCATTTCCCCAACTGAATCTGTTCCGCCTCAAACTCCCCTGTCACTAAAACTCTCACTCCAACCCCTTACACAAATTCTTCTCCCACTGCCACAACTCAACCTTAACATACTCATTATCTGTAATATCAAAACTTTCATAGTTCATATAAAACGCTCCTAGTGCGAATACAAAATCTGTGCTGCTATAAGTCAGGTTAGGTAGGGTTAGAATAGAAGGAATAAATTGGATGGAGGGTGTGGAGGTTGGAAGGGCTGGTGGGGTGGAGAGGGGGATTGGGGATATGGAGGGGGTGAGGGATAGAGGGGATGGAGGGGGTGGGTGGTGGGGGCTGGTATAGGTGGTTTGTGGATGGTTTTAATAGGTATGCTGATATATTTGAAGAGGTTTGGGTAATAGGATATTGGTGATTAATCAGAATTAGATATTATGATGGGAGGAAGATTCGATGAGAAGACAGCTGATGTAGAGATAACTCTTCAATAAAATTAAGCTGAGGAATCAGTCAAAAATAAATTTAGGATTTAATTAATCAGATTCATCTAATTAAAGAATTACAGTGAGGAAATCTGCTGTTTTCATAAATTTTTGAGTCAATTATATCGCTGCAAAAACTAGATTGGCGTGAATTTTCTTAAAACCATACTATTGTAACTCTAATTAAACCACAATATCTTATTACCTAATTACTTCCCATATAGACATTCAAAAGAGACAAACCGATATATTTAAATTTTACCTCTATTCTGATCTTAAAGAGCTTTTATAAAAAGACATATAAAACACTTTCCGCTTTCATAAAATTCTAAATCTATTCCCTGTGTTATTAAGGAGTTTCATTCCTGGTCTTAATTAAATCCCTTGAACTCAAATATTTCCAAATTTAAAGAATTTCAGTCATAAAAATTATTGGAAGATAAGCTGCGAAGATAGATTCTCTGCCAGAATAATGGGATGAGGAAAGCTGCAACTACAATAGAAATGGGGAAGAATTGAGAGTGCAGAAGTCATCTGATCGTTGCAAATGATAAAGCTTTGGTAAACTTCAAGTAATGTAATACGAAGAGGGAGGTTTTAAATGTTACCATTTTATACATAAAATGTATGGAGAACTTGAAGAATTAATATCAAGTTATGAAGATCCCCACCAACCATGATTCTCAAGTTTTTGTTTCCAAAAGCACTTACTTCAAATGGACAGGTGACTTATCATTCAAAATATCTATACAGCTCCTTAATTATACTTTACCACTCAGTATAGTATTGACGCTACTTCTGCGTATCCTTCCTTTCTACTCAAAATTACTTCTCAGAAACCCAAAATATCTTATTTTCCACCATATCCCGCTGAAAAGCCAATAAACACCTTCCTTCGCTCTAAACTCTACTTTCCCCTTCCTCTATTCTCCCTTCAATGCTTCAAATCCTCATATCCCCTTATAATCTAAGCCTACACATAAAATATTAAAACCCCTTATAAAGCCCTTAAGAGGCCTTTAAACTGGAATTTTAACAATTCAGGCTAGAGCAAGATCAGGGGCTGAAGAATGAATTAGTTCAGGAATTTTTGGAGTTGGAGTGGGAAGAAAGAAGATTTTTAGGTAAATATGGAAAGGAAATTAGGCGACCACGCTAGAGATTTAGAGGGAAGTTGGTTTTTTGAAGTGTAAATTATTGAAAATTGCGAGCGTGCAGAGCATCTTGGATATTTAGAATGTTCAGGATAGTTTTAAGTAGTGTTCTTGGGATAATTCCATTTTTAGGCTTGAGACTATCCCACTCTTCACCTTAATGCTGGAAGGAGGAGGTTTAACAGAAGGAATCTCAGAGGCAGCAATCCCAAGTTCTGTAAAACAGCCAGTGGCTTGTAGTGATTGAGAATAATCGATGGATCTATGCTGAGAAGCCAGATTACCAGAAGAATCTTCTAAAGACCTCGTAAAAGGATTTTCTGTGGCTTTATGTAATTTTAGAGGGCAGGAAATGCTGTTGATCTAACCTATCCTCCTACCTAGGATCCGCAATAAACTTCCTCAAAACAAGAATCTCTATTAACTTTGGGTCATCCTGAAGTTATCTTCTCTTTTAATTATAGGAAGTAGGGGTCATTAAAAGGGTTTGAGTTTTTGGTCTGAGAAAAGTTCCATTTGTTTTAGGAAATTTTAAATTGTATAGTGGCAAGAATTGAGAAGAGGCTCTGGGATTAGAATTTGAGGAGTAAGTTTAGAAGAATTATTTATTTGAGGTAATTTTGAGAGATTTTTGTTATTAATAGTTTCGAAATCTTTATTTTTGAATATACCGGAAGGGAGCAATTTAAAGATATGGACTTACCTATCATGATTCTCACCATGGCATAGGCATAAAGTAAAATAACAATCTGGATAGCCAAAGAGATTACACCACCCAAAACCGTTTTAAAATTCCTAGAAATTAAGATTTGTCCATACTCTTTGCCTTCAAATGTGAAACTGATTTGCTTGTAATATCTATAAGCTAAATGATGACCTCTCCAGACTTCTGAGAAACTAGTTCATGAACACTTACATATCCTTATCTCTGATCTTGCCGAGGACTGCAGATGAGAAGGATTGCAGAAAAGTTGATTTTGCCATATTTTATTTAAGTTTTATCAAATTCTGCTTGCAGGGATTGGGGTTTTGGGGTTTTGGGGTTTTGGGG